TCTGTGCTCAAACCAGGCATATCTTGATAAGACCATGCAAATATATCTTTGAACTCTTGAAGGAGATTTATCAATTCTTGTTTTATCTGGATTGTCAGAGTAGTACCAATTTTCACCTCTTTTCTTTCTTCATCTGTTCCCAAATTCACAGTCTTAACCTCTTCTTTGTGGGGTAGAATTTGTTTGTCTTCTTTTTCTACCAATCTTAATAGTTCAGTAGGAACATCACATTCTAGTTCATCTTCACAACCATTGATTTCTTCCAGACATATAGGCTGCTCTAAATTTATCACTGGATTAAATCTAGGAATAAACATGCTATTAACACGGTGACACCTGCAAATTTAAGTCGGAACATTTCCGAAAGAATATAGTAAATTTATGAAAATAAATAAATGTAAAAATGTAAGAAAATGTAAAGAATGATTGTCATCTGAAAATTTTAAAGAAAGTTCCTTATATTTAACATAATTTCTTTTACAAGATAACAAAAAGTTTTCATATTTTTGATCTAAACATAAAGATTAGTTCTGAATATTACTCTGCATTAATATTAAAAACTATAGGAAGATCTTCAGTGGTCCAATTGGAGAGTGTTTCTCCAGGAAGGCATGGTCGAATCATATCCAAGTACTTGCCAGTCTTGTTGTTATTCGTGATCATGTTGATAAATAATCCATTCATAGCTTCTTCAACTATGTCTTGATCTTTTGTCAACTTTTCTTCTTTAAAGGCTTCAACAAGCTGCTGTTCCACATTAATTGTTCCCCCTGATCTGAATGTTGTCCTCAACTGTGGGAAAGACATGTGTTTCCAAAAGATTTCTCCTCCTTTCAATTTTGCCTTTCTATCTTCACATCTTCTTTTCATCTCTTTGTTCTTTTGCTGAAGATTGGGCTTAAATCCCAGCCCAAAACGGTCTTTTTTCATCTTTATATTGATAGGGACTGAAATCCCTTGAAGACTCTTTCCTATACCTTTCCCAGCTTTAGCTCCGATGCCTAAAGTTTGTTGTACCGTCATCTTGGTGCAATCAGACAATCTGGGATATGGAATTTTCCTTCCTTCTGCAACAAAGGTTGTATTTACAAATTCAAGAGCTCGAAAAGAGCATTCAAGAGCTTCATCACTGGGGTCGATATATGGAACATCGCTTGTTACAGACGCAATGATTTCTTCTTCAGCATTGACACATATTAGTTGTCCATCAACAACAAATTTCAATTTCTGATGTAATGAAGAAGGAACGGCTCCTGCTGAATGAATCCATGGCCTCCCTAAGAGACAATTATATGTGGGGTGGATGTCCATCACCACAAAGTCAATATTGTACACGACTGGGCCAATTAACAAAGGTATTTCCATTTTCCCAAGCACTTCTTTTTGGGTACCATCAAAGGCTCGTACCACATTCTGATAACTCTTCATGTGTGATTGATCCAGAGGCATTCTTTGAAGTGTAACTAGAGGCATCAAATTGAGGGCAGACCCATTGTCAATCAATACTCCTGGCAACACATGACCCTGACAATATGTCGTGATGTTCAAAGCTTTTACTGACCCCATTCCGCCTTCCGGTATTTCATCATCTGTGAATGTTATATAATTGTCAGCGGCTATATGTCCCACAATTCTGTCAAGTTTATTGAGGGATATATCTTCGGGGATAAATGTCTGATTGAGGATTTTCATCAAAGCATTCCTATGCGCTTCTGAATTCATCAATAGATCAAGAATAGAAATTCTCGCTTGTTGTTTGTGTAGTTGTTCAACTACACTATACTCACTATGTTTCAAGAATTTCAAAAATTCTTGAGCTTGCTTTTCTGTCACAGGTTCATTGAATGCTGGAAGGGATTCTTCTTCAAATACCTTCTGAGGTATTGCCACAGCTTTTCCTTTTGCTTTCACTTGTTCTGAAGCATTGGATGTTTCGGGAGAGTAACATCTCCCACTTCTCGTAAAGAAACCGACCTCGCCCACTGCTTCAGATGTCGATGTTGTACTCAAACTCTGTATTTTCTCTTCTGTTTTATCTAGAGAAACAGATCCTCCTACCATTGAAACATTGGTAGTATAATTCCAAGGTACCCTGCGGGTATCTTTGTATGGAAATGGTAGAGGAGTGGTAATAACTACTTTTGGCTTTATTGGTGCAGGAATCACCGTGGATGATTTCACATTAATGACCACAGGATCATTTATTCTTTGACTTGGTTTAGAATCCTCTGATGAACAAACATCATCTTCTTTTTCCCCTGGTTCTTCTTCAAAGAATTCTATTTCTCTATTGTTCATCAATTTCTGCACCAAATCCCTGAACTCAGGACATAGTTGAATTTTATGCCCTTTCTCCTGATGATATTCACAATAATTCTTGCCTTCATTCTGCTTTGGCTTGAATTGTTGTGGAATTATACCGGCTAAAGAAAGCTGTTGGAATATCCAAACAAATGGAGATTTAATTTCAGAAATGTCAGTCTTTGCTTTCTTTCTGTTCTCTTCATTAATTGCATTCACATTTTTATCTCCATGATTTGGCAATGGATGACTTGATGCGGATGGTGTATTGAATTCCAACTTCCCAGTGTTGATCAAATTTTGAACCACCCTTTTGAATGCTAAACAGTTTTCAATAGAATGTCCTGTAATTCCTTCATGGTAAACACAGTGTGCCTTTGTATCATACCAAGGAGGGAATGGTGGTTGCATGGGAACCAAGGGATAAGGCCGTATAACATCTGCTTTTAACAGCGAATCATAGATCTCTGCATATGGTACTGGTAAAGGTGTAAAAGATAACCTTTCATTTTCCTTTCGAGATCCTCTGGAATCTGCTCGATTAGTGTTTGTTTCCTCTTTCTTAACCCTTGGCTGGGTTATTGTAACACTTTTCGATGAATCTTTGCTGTAAGAATTGGCATTGTTGACCTCATTCTCCTTTTTCCGGTATGTAGGTCTTTTGGAACTAGACCCATCATTTGATTCAATCTTGCCACTTTTTAAGACATTTTCAATTAATTCTCCAGAAATGACCAAATCTGCAAAATTTCTGGTTGCATTCCCCATTAGATGGTTTAGATAAGGAGCCTTCAATGTATGGACAAACATTACTGTGGCCTCTTTTTCTGACAAAGGTGGTTGAACTTGAGCCGCAGTGTCACGCCATCTCTGAGCATACTGTCTGAATGTTTCATTATTCTTTTTCTCCAAATTTTGGAGAGTCCATCTATCAGGGACCATGTCTGTCACATGGCGATACTGCTCTAAAAATGCTTTAGCCAAATCTTTCCAGGATCTAATGTTGGCTTTGGTCAATTGAGTATACCATTTTAGAGCCGGTCCTGTCAAACTATCCTGGAAGCAGTGAATTAACAATTTCTCGTCCTTCACATATCCTGCCATTCTTCGACAAAACATAGTAATGTGGGATGAAGGGCATGTAGTACCGTTATATTTATCAAATTCGGGAGCTTTGAACTTGATAGGGAGGATTAGGTCTGGAACCAAACTCAACTCACTAGCATCAAATCCATAGAATGATTCAGTTATTTCCACGGATTTCATTCGTTCTTCTAAGCTCTTGATCTGTTTGGTCAGTTCTTCATTTGCTTTTTGTTTCTCATTCAGCTCATTTAAATCTGGGATCAACTGATCAGTATTAAGATCCCCTATTTTCACATCAGATATAAGTGGATTTTTGCTTGAAGATGCAGGATCCACTTGTTGATCTTCATGTGATTTGACTTCTTGTAATGCAGATGTACGAGCATTGATTTGTATAGGGGTAGTACCAAAGTGATAAATTGGTTCTAGTGGAAAACCTAGAGGATATATGGGTTCTTGGTCAAAAGATACAGGATTTTCATGCATTTTTCCACTGATAGCCTGCCTTTTAAACATGTCCTCTATCTTCTTCATCATACTGTCTTGTGAATTTGCAATGCTGGCTTCAATTTTTTCCAACTTCATTCTCATTTCTTCTTGTTCTTTATGATGCTGTTCCTCAATACGCTGTATTTTATCCTCCATAATTCTTTTAGTAGCTTGTCTAGTACCGTAGTGATGTAGTATTTCTCTTTTGGCCAGAGTAACTGCGATTGAAAAATCTTTTATATTATTTTTTCAAATTTTAATTAATGAATTTTAACTTAATAAAATAATTCATAGTGAAAATTATGAAATGAATGATGAATGTATGAAAAATGCATGTATGTAAAAACATTGATCCCAAAAGTTAACTGTCATAGAACAACTTTCATCGGCATACAAAAGTTTCTTTATAATATTTCATAACTACAGATAAGGCATAGCTTTCCTATTAAGCTCTATAATTTCTTTCATTAACCATGACACCTTCTTTCCACATCTAGAAACTGGATCAACTTGATGCTCAATTATTTTGGCTTCAACAGCTAGTTCCCCAACATATCTAGCAACTTCACTCATCTGTACCATGGCCTCGAACACCATATTGCTTCTTTCTTCACTTCTTTCCACATAGAACTCGGTTGACTTTTGCCATTGCTCATTCGTTCCTTCAAGAGTTTGCTCTAACTCAGTGATTCTGACTTGGCAATTGTGCAGAATTTTTTCAAGATCTCTAATGCGTCTTCGCAATGAAGCATTTTCCTCATTACTTTCTTTGAGATCATTAGGTCCTAGACGAACCTTTTCTTGAAACAATGATTCTTCTAGTTGCAAAATGTAAGTATTAAACTCTGAGTTTTTGTTTCTAGACTGATCCAGATCCTCTTCAAGTTTTGTTCGTGCTTCTTGCGTTCTTTGATTAAGCTTCTGGATTTGAACATCTTTGTTTCTGCATCTTTGCATCCAATTGCTAGCCACCTCCTGCTCTACCTCAAGTCTGGTGTTGAAATTTTTCCTTTCCAGTTCCCATCTTTCCTTTTCAACATAGGATTCTTCCATCTTTTGGCCTCTGACTTCAAGCTCAGCAATCAACTGGTTCATTTCAGATTCAAATCCCTTGAACATGATACTTTTCTCACTTTCAAATTTAACAAAGATGTCATTCTTCATCTTTTCTAAATCTTTGGCTCGATCTCTTTCTCTTTGCATTTCATTCATGATCTCACGGTGTTCAGCCTTGTGTTTTATAATTCGCTCTCTTCTGTCAACCTCGAAATCTTCCATTTTTTGCTTTCCTTTTTCCAGGCTTTTGAGTAGACGATTATTCTTTCCTTTCAGATCTTCAACTCGTCTTTTCTCAATGTTCAATTCTCTGGTCATCTGTACCATCGATTGGCCGGGTCCTGATGCTTTTCGAGATTTATATAACTCCTGGTAATCTTTCTGTAAGGCTCTGTACTCATCTTCACCTTTTTCTTTATCTTTTCTCAACATTGCACATTGTGAAGAATGAAAGTCAATGTCAACCCCCAACATAGCTTTATCTTGTCTCATTTGATCTAACTCTTTCGACCAACCTTCTCTTTCTGCTTCAAACTCAGCTCTCAGGATTTCAATCTCTGATGGAACCACCTTAATGTGATCTTCCATAGGAATATCCTCATTTTGATCTGGTAGAGGAATATTTTCGTTTTTTCTGACAGATCTCCATTCTTCATAATCAGGAGTTAGCATTTCCTTTGCTGCTTTAGCTCGAATACAAAAAGTTGTTTTCCAAGCTGTAACGGCTTCCATGATGTTTCTTTTATAATTTTTGCTGTGGAATGCAAACTCAGATGACTGTAATCCAGTAGTAATAGGTACAAATTGACGACCTTCATACTGTCTTATAACCAGAAGTGGTGCATATCCAATTCCTCCCCATAATCCGAGCAGCATTATCCAGTTGTAATCCCCACATCTGTAAATGAATTCCCTTTGTATTTGCCACGGGGCTCGCCAAACAACGTCATTGTTTTGCAAATTTCGAAAGGCATTAATCCACATATCTTTCTTAATTTCTTTCGGCCATTCCTGCTCCAGAAATTCCTTTAATGGTGAATAATCCGTATTAAAGCGTCGGTATGAAACCTTTTCTGTTCTCCAGAAATGACTACGGATCCAAACATATAATAATTGAGTACACCCTGAGAATCGTCCACCTCCTAGCCTTCTGCAAGCATTTAATGATCTGAAAGTCTCTGCTAGGATGGCAGAAACAGGATTAATCTTCTTTGGTAGTTGTTCAAACAAGTCTACCACTGCAGCTTCAATATATCCCAATACTTTTGGGAAGATGACCATACCATATATACCCAGAGCAAATAGATCGAATCGTACTTTAGCGTCTGGATGACTCTGAATAAGTTCCTTGATGTTGGTCCAAGCAATGCCTTCGCTTTCGCCTTTTTGTTTTGTACGGGATGCTACCCATTCTTCTCGTACCCCAGCAATCTTTGCTAATTTAACTCGAAAGGGCTGAGTTTTAATTGACTTTGAATATATTCGACTCTCCAAAGCACCTTCAAGATGTAACAAAGTTGTATATTCTTCAATAGTAGGGACCAAGTCCTCCTTATTGAAAGTGAAGCAATTGTACCCTGGATTCCAGAATTGAACTAGGGCTCTGAATAATTCATCATCAACTTCAACATAGAGCAAATATGGGATGTCTCCGTAAGTCTGATAAAACTGCAATTTTTTGTTTGAATCCCAACTTTCCCAAATGCTCCGCAAATCTTGCATATCATTTCTTTTTAGTGAAACTGAAGCATAACTGGCCAAGTCAGATACATAATCATCCTGCAGACTATCTCCTTCTTGTCTTTGTAAATCCTCAGCCCACTGTCTTACTTCTGAGTTCAGAATTATTTGATTTGAACACTTTTTATCCATAGATGAAGGCTTTCCAATGAGACAATTAACACAAGGATCAATGTCTTTTATCCTGTATGATGCAATGCAAACAGAAAAATAAATAACACACAAAAAAGAAAATAAATTAGTTTACATAATAAAGGAATTTAATAATAAAATAAATATTCTTTATTTAAACATGTTCTTCTGAATTTAAATAATTTAAATAAACATGTAATTTAATAAATTAACAGGAAAGACAGAATTCATTTCTCCTGTGTATACACCTATTTTGGACAAAATTTCGGCATGACTTCTGATTAGAAGAGTTTCTAAGGTTTTTTATATGCAAGGTTTCAGATCTAGGAATAAAGGTACCCGAATTGTCCTTGTTAGTGCCCCCTTGGGTTGCTAACCCTCAATCCTAGTCCATTACAGACTAAAGTGGATCGAGTTCAATTCGAGGGGATACATTTCTCTATGCCTGACACGGAGAATAAATTCTCACGAAGACATAGAGCATATGAACCCCGAAAGTTACTTGCTAGGTCTGACACGGAGAATAAATTCTCACGAAGACGTCGCTTTCACTCCCACTTAAAAGGGACAACTCAATTATAGAGCTTTATGTAATGCAATGCAAGTGTTGTGTGTGAGGAGAAATGTTAAACTTTTGACATAAAAATAAATACTGAAATAAAATACTTGCAAATAAAACATATAAATATTATAAAAATAATAAATAAATAAAAATAAAAAAATTTGAAAAGAAAGAATTAAAAATTAAATATATAAATTTTTAATTTTTAACTAATAGAGACAATTTATAATTAATTTTTAAAAGTTTGACCTTTCCCCAGCAGAGTCGCCAAGCTGTCGTAACCGGTTTTCGTCCGGGCACGAAATATTATAATTTGGCGGGGAAATTGATGTTAATAAATAATTTTGAAAATAATTTGTGAGTCGCCATCGACCTTTTGAATCAGGTAGGTCGAATACCTAAAAATTTTCTTTTAAAATAGTTTTTAAGAAAACCATATTTAAAAGATGAACTGATCTGCGTTTTATAACCAAAAATTCGTTCTTTTTAATAATAAAAAGGGATTCGTGGTCGGTTACGTTTAGGGAAGGATTAGCACCCCTACAACGCCCAAAATTGGTACTTTTTAATTATAAATTGTCTCTATTATTAAAATTTAAAATTCAGAAATATATTTAATTTATAATTCTATTATTTCAAAATTATAAAAAAATTTATTTATTTGAAAATATCCGAAAAGAACTTCTAGGTGCCTTAAGACAGCTCTTTTCTTTGATATTGATAAATATTAATTTAAATAATATTGTTTACTTTTTAATTTTAAAATATCAGAATAGGACATCCAGTTGTATTAAGACTGTCATTTTCTTCGATATTAAAAATAAATATTTAAAAAATACTATTTATTATATGTATATATAAAAATATTTAACAGTATAATAACATAAAATTATCACTAAAATAATATATTTTAAGCAATAAAATGAAAACATGTAAAATAAATAACTAAATTATGAATAAAATAAAATTAAATTTAATTCCTAATTAATTGAAATTATAGGGATTAAATATTTTTTTTCTAATTTAATAATTTAATGACCAAAATAAAATTATCTAAAATTCAAATTTTATAATAAAATAAATTAAAAGTATGAACTAGGGACTAAAGAATTATTTATTAAAGTTAAGGGATTAAATCTATCATTTATCCTAAATATATTATTTTAATTAAAAAGACTAAAATGAATAAAATTAAAATTCAAAAACCGAATTAAAATTCTTATAAATTCAGTTTAGTGACCAAAATGTAAAGTTTACAAATATGAAGGACTGCGTACAGGGTTTAATTATTTCAAAATTACGCGTATAGTCCTTCCCAAAACGGCGTCGTTTGGGAAGGACTATAAAAGTCCAAATCGGCTGGCCCGAAGGGCCAGCCATTTCATTTCATTTCTTCCTTCTCTCTCTCTTCTCTGAGAGAGAGAAATTTCTCTCGCTTCTCTCTAACACAGAGAGAAGCCCAGCCGGCCGGCCGTCGTTAACCGGCGTTCATCTGCCGTCAACCACCGCCGCCGGCCACCGTCTTTGGTGGCCGGAAAATTTTTTCTTTCATCTAAGCGTAGATCGGACCGTCCTAATGACGGTTCCGACGTTTTTTCCCGTTAAACTGCTCCCAATCGGAGCAAATCTAAAATAATACCTTCGATGTTTCGAAGGTTCTGACGAGATCCGGTGGTCGACGCTTCCTCGGTAAGTCTCTTCTTCCTTTTTCCTTCTTTTTTCTTTTGATTCTTTGCTGCTGAGATCGTTGGTATAGTTTGTTGTTTTTTTTTCTCTGTTTTTTTTTTCTTCGGTTCTGTTTCTGTCTCTTCTTGCTGTCTCTCCTCTTTTTTTTTTCGCAGGTGGGTGGTGGCTTTTATAGCCACCACCGGTGTTCGTCTCGGACCGGTCCGAAGAGGGGGCTTCGGTGAGTCACCGGACTACCAGTGGTGACTCACCCCGTAGCCTTGGCGTGGACGGCCGGTGTTCTAGCTTCTGGAGTCTTCGGCTGGGACGTGGCAGCGGCGGAGGCGGTGAGGGCTGTCGGCAGCCGCGTGGAAGCTGGAGCGGCGCCGCGTGGCCCTAGGGTATCAAACCCTAGGGTTCCTCTCTGGAGCCATGTGGACCGTTGGATCGTGCCAGATCCAACGGCTGTGATGAGGCGGCTGAGGATGATTAGGGTTAGGAAACCCTAACTGGAAACCCAAATATTTAGGGTTTCCGGTTGGATTTGGACCGGTTTCATTTGGTTTGTAACTGGGCCGGTTGAATTGTAATTGGTTTGTAATTTATATGTATTTAATATATTTAATAATAAAATAATAATAATAATAATAATAAAAATAATATTAATAATGATAATAATAATATTAATAATGATAATAATAATATTAATAATGATAATAATAATATTAATAATGATAATAATAATATTAATAATAATAATAATAAAATGAATAAAAAAATAGTATCTTCACAGTTCATACAAAATTGAATATCCAACTCAAATTTCAGAGTTTGGAAGAAACCCTTTGTTCTAAACAATCCAGAAACCAAAACCCATGTTATATATTATTTCAAAAACAAGAGTAAACAAACAAAAACAGCCCTTTGGATGAGGAACTGCCGATAACAAAGGGAAGTTGTACCTATTTTTATATAGAAAAGCTCATTATTAACTCTCTCCTCTCTGTTTAACCAGAAAGCTTTGCATTGTGCGTTTGGTTGGTTGCAGATTCGGATAGAAATATAGAGGGAAGAAGAGGTTTCCACTTAACAAAACTGCCATGAAAGAGACCAATTAACGAAATAAGTACAAATCAAGAAATACGAAAAAGGAAACTGATATTTGTTGGTTAATCAAAATGAAAAAGATCCCTTATTTCTTAATACAAATTTAAGTTGATTTCATTCACGTTTATTTTATTTTATTTTATTTGGTCGACTTGAGGAAATTACAAAACCAACCACAATTCAGTGCCTTAAAACAAGACACATCACTTGTAAAATAAATAAACATATTTATAGGCTATAAGAAAATTAAAAACTCTTTTTCTTAAAAAATAATATTTCAAAATATTTTATTAAAAAAATAATTAAATATATGCTCATGAGAATTGAGAAACTTGATTCAGTTTCTTTTATACTAAGATATTTACTCTCTCAATTTTTTGCTAAATATTTTTTAATAAGGAAATTTGAAATTTATTAAAAGATATAAATATTTCAAAACATATTTTCATTTTTTCTTTCTTTTGAACTATGTTTTTGTTCATTGATGTGAGGCAATACTTGTCATATTGAATACTTTCAGGGGGTGTTTGGATCAAGAAATGTGGGATTCTCATGGGAATGGAATCCACATTCCCATGTTTGTTTGGCAGGGAATCTCATTCCCGGTAATATTTTATTACCAATAGTGGATTTTTTGGGGTATATTACTGAGAATGTCATTACCTCACTTTCCTTAGGTATTGATGGATTACCGACGTTTTGGACTAAAATGCCCTTAAATTTTTTTTCTTTCAAAAATATCCTTCTTTTGTCATTGAATAATAAAAATTCTACGAAGGTTAAATTACAAATTTATCCTTAAACTATTTTAGATTTACAAAAAAATTATATAATTAAAATTTTATATGAAGTTCAGGGGTTAAAATAAAATTTTACCCTTTCATTAAACCTTTTTATATTTTCAATTTTGTAAAAAAATATATATATAAATTTTATGAATTTAAATTTTTTTAAAGAAAATATATAAATATTTTTCAACTTGTTAAAAAAACAAATATATAATGACAATTTGGTCAAATATACATTTTAATAATATTTTATTCCTTTAACCAAACACGGTAATCTTACATTCCTGCTAAACCAACCAAACACAAAATACAACATTCACATTAATCCTATTCCCTGATAATCTTACATTCCCACTGGTAATCTTACATTCCGTGAATCAAACGCACCCTCATTGTCATTGAAATATTCTAACAATATAGGAATTTAACATAAATTATTTATATTTTTTTATCATTCCATTAAATCAGAGATAATTATACCTAAATCTATTTGAATTTACGACTTCAAAATGTGTCAACCGAGCTCAATTAATTATTAATATTATTTGTTGAAATTAGGGATGCTTATTAAGTGAGTCGATCATGAGTTGAATAGTGCTCGATTAGACTCGAAAATTGTTCAACTCATGCTCAACTTAAAAATTGTTTGGCTCATGCTTGACTTTACTCATTGCTCGTTAAATTCATTTGAATTTTTATCTTACTTTTAAAAGTGTATGTAAAATATGATAATACAAAATATAGTTTAATATAAACAAAAATTAAAAAATTTAACAAAAATAATTAAAATAGTACATGAAGCAATTTTAAAGTCTAACAATCCACAAATATACCAAAATAACATATTACAACCAAAGTAACAATTCAAAAATACACCAAACTAACATATTAAAATCATTTTTAAAAAAATTAACACTATATAATTACTCCTAAAAATAAAACAATCAACATCCTAAAAAATTAAAAAAGAATTAACGAACTACTCGTGGACTTATCAAGTCAAATTAGACCTCATTTGACTCGACTCATTAAGATCTTGAGTTCGAATTGAGTTAACTTGAATCAAGCATTAACTAAATTTTAACGGAATCAAATTCGAACTACTTACGAGCTGTCCAACTCGGTTAATCCAACTTGCTATTTGTATAGCCACATTTTTCTCACCAATTGCTTTTATAGATTTTCCCTTTGGATTTCATTGTAATCTTGTAAATTATTGTATTATTGTTTTTACATCACCCATTACTTGTGTCTATGTAATTCATTTTCGTTGCAATATAATACAGGAGTTCCCTTTTCTTTCATCTTCTCATCAAATTTTATCATTATTTATTGTAAATTATTTATTTTAATACACACTGGTTTTGTAAAATAAACGTCTAAGCAAAATACCCATAAGAAATATACCCACACTGAAGTATATCCGTATAAAAATAATACCTACATCCGAGTCTAAGCAACATTAGAAAAATACTTCTCTTGACCAATCATCAAATCATAAACTCAAATGCAGTGGATATGAAATTAGAACATAGATTAAAACGAAAAATATAACCCCGCAAAGCCATGTTCATCCATGATTGCTTTCACTCAAAAGTTGAACAAGCTTATGCCTAAGAGCCCTGTTAAACACTAGAGCTTTTTTCCATGTCCCGGAACTTCCGGTGGCGTTTTCGGACTAGCGAATCCCAGAAATAAAAAAGTCGTCGGATTAGAGATGCACTGGTCTTCGAGTAAAGATACGGCACAATGTAGGTGTGAACATGAAACAGCCACCATCTCAAGTGACGATCTCTTTCACAAGCCAGTCTAAACTCGGATATGCAAAGTACAAGATAAGAAGTGAAGGGAGAGCAAAGAGAATGGTTGAGTATGTACAGGGCCAAGATGGCAGCACTGGTCGGAACTGCATACAGGATGATCAAGAGAAACATGACAATTAACGGGAACTCGACAGTCAGATGTACGAAGAACCCCAGGGACTTCCGAAGGGTTGAGTGTATTCTTTCCAAATCGAAGTAATCAACAAGATAAGTACGATCGTTGGTTGATCCCGATGGCTCAGAATGATGAAGATATGGTCCCCTTCGATGGTTAGTCCGAGTCATTTGGATTCCTGCAGGCAAATTGCTGTTCGGTGATAAGTCCAGCTGACAATCTTCGGCGAATGAAGAATGAGACTTAAGTCTATCACCATTCAGCTCTCAACCATCCAAAGTAGAAAATAGTTCTTCCGAGGGAACTTGAGATTTCCCCGATAAACCAGACGAAACGACAAGAGATTGCACCATGAGCAGGAGATGAAAAGTGGAAGTTGGATCGGTAGAGTGGGGAATTTCACCACAGCCCATTGAAGTCCCAGAATGCAGTTTTTACAAAGGGTATGACCGCACCATAAAACATACGGAACATTTTCAACGATGTTGAAGGATTCACAGCATATCGGGCAGTCTAGAACTTCATCCCTGCTAACTACGGAAGAACTTTCATCATCAGAACATTCCGATGATGCACGAGTTTGCTTTAGAGAATCATTTTTCAGTCCAACAGTTCCAGCAATGCATTTGGATGCAAAACTCCACATGTTGCTGATACAAGGAGCATAAGTGATTACATAAACGTCATTCTCGAGTAAGTGAAACCGGACCTCAAGAATTACAACATAATGTCGAAAAAGAAATGTCTGCCAAGTGAAAATAAAAACAGGGCTAAGTACCAACAAAAACAA